CCAGAAGGGTTAAATTTTCTGACCACAGCTACATATGAAACAGCAATTTTATAGGCAAGATACTTCCTCCTTCACTTATCAACAGATTTAGTATTCAAACAGGAAAAAAAAGGCATTTTATCTCTTTGTTATTGCTTTGCCTTCTTCATTTATTTTCTAAAACCTCATACCTCAATTAGTGATCTTGATTTCAAAGAACCTACTGGAATACTCCACCTGTAGACATCTACAGTTGTAGATGAAGCAATGCCATGTATGACATTTCCTCAGTCATCAATGGCAGGTCCTTCACAGAAGCCTGGGGAAAGTGAACTCGCTGGAAAACCACTCGAGTTCTCACACATCAGAGGCAGAAGGAGTCATGTCCCAGAGCCTCTCGTGTATGCCTAGTGTGAGACCTGCCAGCCAAACACTGCAGCTCACAGTGCTGAGCAAAATGCCCAGAGATATTGCTGGGAGCAAGTTATTTCACTGCAAGAGAACACAGAAGAGCCCTCTCCCCCTTCCCTCTTGATAAGAGGGAAGAGGAGCAAACAAAAACCACCAGCACCTGTCTTTGTCACCTGCTTTTACTCAGCTCTGGAAACCCTCACTTCAGTATGCATTATTTACTTTACTCATTTTCCTAAGAGTAATGTTGTCTGGAATTGGATTTAATGACATTATGACTCAAGTACGCCATTATTAACATTTCCATAGGAAATTAAAATTTCAATGTCTGAATGACTTCAGCTAATCACCAGACTTTGGAAGACAGAGCCGATTTCCTCAGCTACCTCAGAAACTTCTTCCCTCAATTATAACCCAGGAGGTATTTAAGATGTAATGAAAATTTTACAAAGGCTCAACTGAAAATCTAATCCATTCTTTAATATTAATGGTTAGCGAACCCAAAAAAAGACATGGACATGTTTTTGATAAGTCTTGGCCACCAGGTGCCTACAGCAATTTGACCTTAGATACTATAACTTTTGATAAAGGGAGAGCCTGGAAAAATATTACTCTATTTCAGTGTTTGAAACACTGTTATTAGAAAAATATTTTCCCAAGCTGCTGAGTATCAGCAACCACCACTGGAATGATTTTGTGCTCAGAAACCATACATTTGCATGACTTCAGATACCTCCTTAAACACCAAATTTAGCAGTTCAACCATTTAAATCCCTTTATTCAGAACAAGTCAGAGCAAAATTACTCACGACAGGATTATCTTCCACACAGAAAAAAAAAAAAAAAACCAACCCAAACCTGCAGATATTTCCCATGCTCCAACCGTGATCTTCAATTGCTAATAACATTTAGTGTGGCACAAAAAGTCTGTGTTCCTGTTTGCAAACTCCAACTCCAATGTTTAATAAGAAAGCTTAGCCAAAAGGCTGACTAAAGACACACAGTACTAGATGAGGAGGAAATGAGTAGACACATATATTAATTATCACCCTTTCTGAGATCACAGGCTCACTCAAGTTAAAATTTAAAGGGCTTAGATTACTTTCTGGTGAATTTTATTAGTTTTCCCCAAGAGGTGCAAAGACTAATGCTGTCACAACAGAAAAGGAGAGCATATACAGCGTCATTACAAGCTGAGTCACCCGAAAGCACTGAATCTTGCTTTATTATAACACAGCCTCTTAAATAGTCTCCTGAAGCACTGTCGTTTGTTATGCAATAGAGTGGGAATGGAAAGCTAACCCAGAATCACCATAAAACCAAATCTGGTGCATCTGCAGAGTCGTTCCCAGTAGGCAGACCCTGTTGCCTTGCTGCTCTCTTTGGAGACAGCAGCTGCAAGTTTCCCTTCCTCTGCTGCAAGAGATACAGAAAGAAGTTGGTGAGAATTGTCATCTTCTTGTGGCTGCTGTGAGCATTTAGATATGCCTGCAGAGGGCCAAGATGCAGGTGGGAAGATGAGGTGCTCAGGTGGATATCCAAGAACTACAACCAGAAGATTCTTCCCTGTTGTCGTGGTTTAACCCCAGTCAGCAACCAAGAACCACACAGCTGCTCCCACACGGCCCCACCAATGGGATGAGGAAGAGAATTCAAAGGGTAAAAGGCACTCTTGAGAGTGCCTGGATCTTCCTTCCTGTTTTACAACAATGGTTACCTTTATCAGTCACCACATAATTCACTGTGCTGCTGACACAGAAAAATTAGCCATAAAATTTGCATATGCAAAGATATTTTCAGCATGCTTCCGACAAAAAAAACTTAGGTTTTCTTCTACAATGAAGAACACTATACAAATCACTTGCTTTATGTCACCTCATTCATTTTACAAGTCGAGTGGAAAATAGGCTAAAACAGTAACAACTTCTACTATGTTCATGGAGGGTTGTGCTTTTCCAACAGAGCATTTCTCATGATGCAATTAACATCCCATTCCAAAGCTGGAATTTTGGTTGCATCCTACCAAAATCTTCATACAACTTGAGAACTCAGAATTAATTTTTCCATATCTCTTTTCAATTTGTTTCTTTTGGACACCTTGTAGAAACCTGGAATTTTGAGAGCCTCTAGTATAAATGGGTCATTCCAGCTCCAAATGATTTGCAGATGGCTTCAGGAGTAGCATGATAAGGACTCTGGTCACCAGCATAGACTTGTAACTATTTATACACCAGGATACTTGGAAACCCTTCCCACAAAACAGAAGTCCACTCTGCAGGGGGTTGGAAAGAGGAAGGTTATTTTTGCCCTTAAGAGCTTACACTCAGTATAAGGCAAAAAGTGATTACTGACTTATGGACAAGGATACAAAGGAACCAAGACAACTTCAGAACAACAGACTCCACTTTTGCACACCCCCAGTCTACCTCAGCTTCCTTCAAGTGTCATCTGTTAGTTGACTAACTAGCTCTGCAAAAAAGGAAGGAAACATTCTCCAGATCAACAACATCCTACAGTGGCAACAGCATCTCCAGGAGGTGACAAGCTACTGTCTTCAAACTTTAACTGCAGAGCTCAAGCAGCACTTCACCCACAGCAGAGCAATATCTGACTGTCACCAATACCTTATGCTTCCTCCTGCTATTTTAGAAGGCCATGCCCATATTCTTCTTCAGCTGAAAAATAAATATTTGACATTTGGATGCATGGAAATAATGACTATCCTGAAACCAAAGAAATATATCCATGCAAGACTGAAAGAAAAGTTCCTGGATGTTGTCAAGAAATACAAGTTTTATACATATATAATATACAAGACATGTGAATACAATTTTAATAAATTTTCCAGACCAGGTAGCTCACCTTTCTTTCTTTCCAAGACACAGAATACCTTCTTGAATGAATGCTGGGTAGCAAAAATAACTCAGTAACTTCATGGAGATAAGAAAGGAAATCTTCACACTGAGTGGCAGCAAACTCAAAACGATGTCAGACATGATCTCTTTGAGGAAAATTAACTGCCTTTTTTTTTACACACAAATTAACATAACAAGATAAACAAATCCTCTGATATTAACTGTTTCTGATGAATCACTTAAACACTGGAGAAAAGGGAAAGGTCTCATTCATTCTTTCTCACCTCAAGTTTGACCACCTACCATTTAATTTACAGACACTAAAAGAAAAGGCTTCCAGAACTATCATAAACCAATAATCCTAGTTGAGCTTACTGTATCTCCAGTTTAGTCTATTCTAGATCACAGATACCATCAGATTACAGGATTCCCCACACAATCTGAGTAGGGCAAGATACTGCTTTTGTTCTAGCTGGAGTTTAAATATTATGCTTAATAGTGTTTGTTGGTGCTAGAGCACTATCATTTCCTAGAGCTTTGCAACCCACAAGAACCTTTAAGACTCTCATAAAAATAATTAAAAGTTCAAAGTTCCATCCTCTGGCATTCATAGCAGAACTCACAGGTAATGAAATTCTTTCACGTATCAGTAACTGGAGGATGTGGAAGAGAGCCACATCTCTAGTTAAAAGGAAACTGACTAATGCAAAGAAAAAAACCAGGAAAAAGTATGGGAAAACATGTCATTGACTCTGAAAACATGCTTGGTTCTTTAAGAGGACAGAGAAAACTCAATTGCCCAGACAACTGCAAAAACACTGGTTGGGTATTTGCAAAGAGCACTGCTGGACTAAGAAGATTAAAATGTAGTTTAATCAATACAGTAAACTTAAAGAGGAAATTACTTGTGTGTGGATTTACTGCAAGAGACTTTTCATTGAGGTAGATCGGTACAAACTAATTTGTAGTCTTTCCTTCAAAGACAGGACTACTACAGGGACTCTGCAGAAACAGGCAATAAAAGAAGATTCAAACATAAGTGGAAACACTATTGCTCAAACTCCTGACAAACAGATTCCCCAAAGGAGACAGGCAAGAATATTCAGTAGGAGGGTGCTAACATCTTTATCTCAGCCGTGACTCAATCCTTTATTTGGGGTGATTTTCTTAAGAACCCCTGTAAGTAAAATGAAAACCTCAGTCACTGACTGTAGCTATAGGGAGAACATCAGCTTTCTAATTAGATTTTCTTTATATTGGCAACTCGTTGTCTTAGAACACCACAAGAAACAGAGGCACAAATCAGGTATTTTATAACAAAGAATATAACTGAGTTAAAGATGAGTAAAAGGAAATCATGTGCGTAGGAGAGAAGCAAGCAGAAAAACTAAATCCAAGATCAGAGCATTACCTTCTCTGCCCACAAATAAAGTAAATTTAAATGGAAATTTATACAACAGTTCCAGCAGATATCCATGTTAATACACACTGGTTACCACCACTCTTGTCAGTGAGAAACTGTCTCAATCTTTGTCCAACACCTCACTTACTCCAGCAAAAGTCAGTTGGCAAATTACATCCTTTTGCACATGACTTATTTTCAAAACTTAAGGCTATAGAAAGTGCTGCAATTTAGAACCTTTAGAAGGTGCAACTGATTCTTACAGAGCATCTCATTATTCCTCTGAACAAAAGTTACCCCTATCCTGCACAAAATTTTTCTGCTGAATCACAAATGTTAATCACTTAACTCACCTGCCCAGGCTGGGGGGCTAAACAATTAACAACCTCCTCCAGCATCACTGGTATGTGCAATCTTCCCGAGTCATTGTTTTCTGTACTCTGAGGCAACTCTTCAGTTTCACATTTCTGGGCAGTTTCTTCCTTTATCTCACAGTCAGAAAGCTTTTTTGATGATGAATGGATCCTCCTGGCCAAGCTAGCCATGTTTACTGAATTCAGTTTCAAGTTGTGCAGAAACAAACATTTGTAAACTTGGCACAAACACTGAGGTAACATTTTGGAGCTGATCCACCTAGAAGAACAGTAGATGTCAGGAATTACTTTGAAACAAATATTTTAAATAGTGTATTTCTTTAAAATAAACAAAGTGGAAGTCCTGTAAATAATTTATACACATTCCAAGATGGGCAGTTCTATAGATATGTCATGTCAGCAAGGTATGTTTTCAGAATGTTCAGTGCTATGTACCAATCAATCACACTTAAGCAACAAGCAGATTATTTTCACTATCAAATTTTTTGTACATTCTTTGCTCGGATTTACCTTGCTAGAAGCTTCACATATTTTTTCCCGCATAGGTAAGAACATGCTGAGTAATCACCTCTGGAAAGTTATTCACTAAATCTTTAAGCCTCAGCTGTGCAATATTTCCCTTTACCTTGGAAATTGCACAGACACACAGCCCTGAGGTTTTGAAACAAACCTCAATGCCTCTACAGAAAACATATCGTGGGATGTTGTGCTGGTTTTGGCTGGGGCAGAGTTAATTTTCTTCAAAGCGGGTAGCGTGAGCTGTGTTGGATTTGTGCGGAACGCAGAGGGGAGGAGACACAGCTGGGACAGCTGAACCAACGGGATATTGCAGAGCAGATGACATCATGCTCGGTGTATAAAGCGGGAGGAAGGAGGAAAGGGCAGTGAGGTTTGGAGGGATGGTGCTTGTCCTCCCAAGTCACCAATAAATACATCAGCTGGGGCCCTGCTCTTCTGGAGGTGCCGAACACCTCCCGCCCGTTGGGAGCAGTGAATTAACTCCTTGTTTCGCTCTGCTCGTGTGTGCAGCTTTTGCTTTCCTTATTAAACTGAACCCATGCGGTTTATAGCTTTTCCCTTGCGATTCGTGCCGCTCCCGCAGCTAGGGGAGCGAGCAGCTGCGTGGGGCTTGGTTGATGGCTGGGGTTAAACCACAACAATATAAAATACAGTTATTACAGGTTTCAATAGCTGAGCTGAGTACAAGCCGAGTTCTAACAACCTCGTTCTGCACTGCTGGGGAAGCGAGCAGCAAGTGCGCTTTATCACGGCACG